GGAGCGGGCGGGAGGCGCTGGGCCCGGTCCGCCTGCTCTGCGCCTCAGCCCGGGAGCAGGGAGGCCTGGGGCGGAGGGGAGTCACCGCCCGCCGCTCCGCCGTCGGTGGGAGCCCGCTGCCGCGACGGTCGGGTGTGCGGTCAGGCTCCGAGAGCGGTGCCGCTTGCAAGTTTGATGGTTTTACATCAGTATGGCAATTTTCCTGTCAGTCCCACCGAAAAATAATAGCACAATGTAAACTAACGGCACTTGTGTGTTTCATGTAAAATACATTTTTAAAGAAATAAAGCAGCTGAAAATACTCATTTCAACTCAAAAATTCCTTCAAGATACAGCTCAGACTGAAACTTCACATCAGCATGTAAAAGCTTTGTATTCCTGCAAAATGTTTGTATCTGAATCGCTTACCTCTGGAGTTAAAAAAAAGAGGGAAATGATAATGACAATACTGCTATTAACAAGAGCTTGAATTTTTGTGTGTGTGTGTGTGTGTACTACAAAATGTCTACAGGAGAAAAGTGCAGCAAAACAGAAAAATCTTTTTGAGGATTACGGTTTAAAATAGCCTGAAGTACAACTGCCAACAAATATTAACTGTACTGGAACTGTAGTGCTTCCACACGGGGAGCAGTGAGTGCATCTGGCGCTGGGCCCAATATAACACAGTTTTTGTGTCTGTGGTTGACTCTTGAACTCAGTTTGCTGTATCGAGAAAAAATAATGGAGGAGAGGCAGTTTTAGTAAGACTTTTGTCTATACTTCTCTTTCAGGGAAATTAACCTAAAAGCAGTTTGGAGGAAGCTTTTTTAAGTGACTTCTACAGACATTTAAATGTTCATACCACCCCCTAGCTCATTACAGAGTTACTTTGATGCATTTGGTCAGTTCTTGGTGGACAAGAATCTAGAGAGAGTATTTATTCATCTGCCAGGACAGCCCAAGTGATTTTTCCCTACCAGACAAAGTAAAAAGACACTTCTTCCTTCAGGCAGAAAAAGGCTAGCACTTGTCACAGGCTCTCACAAAGTAAAATTCTCCCTACAGCTGAAGGCCCAGTGGTCTTATCTTCCTGTGGCTTGTTGACCTTCCCCACAGTATCCCAGTTACCAAGTAAGCTTGTCTAGAGCCTCACTTGTGGTCGATTTATTCAGCTTAATTGCCAAGGCCAATTTATTACAGGTTCTGCAAAGCTTGAAAATGAAGTTCCAGAAGACCACACACGCTCTAGATAAGCAGTATGTTTTTGTTACAGATTTCTAAGTGACATTATTGCTGTGCATACCTTAAATGTAGACTAAAAACTGAAATGTCTTCTGAAAGGCCACATAGAATAACAAACACATAGATCTGTTCTGAGGAAAATCTGAACATTTAGGAGATAACACAGGGAAGGGAAGTCATGTGCTGTAATAAACAACAGTAAAGAGGTACATCCTCACCTTCATCATTTGAAATGTGGTTCCTCTTAGTAATCTTGATGGTTAATCTTCTCATATGACGAAGTCCACAGGTGACAATCGTAGGATAAAATTTTCATTTTCTAAATTTTATAAACAAATCTCTTTCACTTCATACTAATCCTGATCTTCCTCAGAGCAGATTTCCCACATTTACTGTTTGAAGCGGGAGGCTGCAGTTCTGGCTCCAAGTACGATTGCCGCAAGTCATTTCCTATCTTCTGTGGTTGACAGCTTATCTCGATGATTATCAGGGGCAGATCTCCAGTGAGAGCTCCCGGATAAAACAGCATAACCGAACTCTGGACTATGCTATTTTTCACACGCAGACTGAGGACATGCAAAGGTTTTAATCACTTCTGATCTGTTTAGGCTCCACTTTTCCCACGTGGACCAGGAGAACATCTTCCTGCCCTGCCTTTGGCAGTCACCCTGAAGAGAGAGAAGGCATCTCAAAGCATCCTAGTGGAGAGGGGCATACCTGGTAATGGACAGGACCTCCATGAAGACTGCCCCTAAATGAAGAAGGTTATGATCCATATTTATACAAAATACTGTACTTCTTGTACTTCTCACTGTACTTGATTTCACAAGTCTTCATATAAATATTTGTATCTTTGTCTATTCACTAATATAGGCAAGTTACTTAAAGACACCAAAAAATCTCTTTCAGTAATAGACCAGCTGTACTGTTACTTTGTTGTTTTGCAGTCTTCTTAAATGAGTTGATTTAATGTAAAACTATTGTGATATTTAAATGACCAGAAGGATCTGTTTGGTAAATATGTTTTTCTACCTGTTTTCCAGCGGAAGCCCTACATGTCACAACTGGCTGCAGTGGGAGCTTTCGCATTATTACCACACAAAGCATTTTTATTTCAGGTGATAAAACAAATGCTGATAGAGGTAGTTGCTCCAGATAGCTTTATATTTTTGATGGGGTAAAAAGCAAAGACAATTACATAACCTCAACATTTTGATTCTAAATTACTCTCACAAAGCAAAAGAGGATGGATGCCTATTAGACTATTCTACAACTAAGATTTTCACCACTGGAACACACTGTGGTTAGGCTTTAAGTGTAATGCTTGCTCCATGCACACTATCACGAAATGAATGCTGGTATGATTATATTAATTGTAGGCAAATAAAAATAAAGTCATAATATAAAGTACAGATGGCCAAAATATAATTAGAAGTGTTTTAAATCCTGAATATTGATAGTGGGGGAACATACCCGAACTCTGGTTATTTTCTCTCCACACAAATACACTCTGAGGCATTTTCTACATTCTGTGGGTATCCAGATGCTGTGAGTTACAACGAGCATATGTAAGTATTAACTTTGTCTCTTATAGATAAATGTAAGAGATATCTATAGTTTTGTTTGATCTTGTTTTCCTGATTCTATGCCCAATGCCTCAACTATAAAGCCATCCTTACTGCAATATCATACACAAATTTCTCTTCCTGAAGACCGTGGTCAGTGTTGTCAGCAGTGTGCTACCACTGCCAGGACCAGGACCAGAGCAACAGGAAAATCCCCAGACCTCTGCTATCTCGGCAGGGCCTGAATTTCTGAGAGGTACTGTTATGGCCAAGAAACTATTCTTCAGATTCCCGCTTTGTCACGCCAGCCCTCTCCATCCTTACTACCAATAGTGCATGATGAATAAAGAATCAGATATAATTTGCAATATCCTTTCTTGTGACAGTACATTGATTTTTTTCCTATCCTTCCTCCACCTTGAGTCTCTATCTGGAGCCCAGTTCCCACTCAGGGCAGGAGTTTCCACGTGGGCGCTCCCAAGTCTGCGTGAGTGCAGAGTTACTGAATTGGCCGATTTGCGCTTTGCCTTTTCTTCCGAACATGCAAGTTCTGTCTCACAAGGCGGCTTTTGTTTCCCTTCTCTCTCCATATGTTGTTTTCAGCGTATAGCAGTCCATTACCAGCAGAGGTCTTTCTCCAGAGATACACAAAGGGAAGACAGGTTTATTTTTTGTATAAACGGCAACTGTTGCCAAAAGCACTAACGTGTTCTGTGTAGCAGGACATCTA